GGGGTGCGGGGGGGGACGGGGGGGACGGGGTGCCGCCAGCCCCCCCCCAGCCGCTGGCTGGGGTGGCACCGGCTGTGCCACGCCGGCGGCACCGGGAGCACCCACCTGCTGAGCTCGTAGATGTCCTCGATGTTGCCGAAAAGCGCGCTGACCTGCTCCGGCCGCAGCACCGGCTCCTCCGCATCGATGATCTTGCCCAGGTAACCCTGCCGGGCACCCACGGTTGGCGGTAGTGGCACCGGCGCAACCAACCAGGCCCCCAAAACCCCATCCGAGGGCTGTTGTCCCCCCGGCGCTCACCTCCACGATGCTGCGCAGGTCGCGGGCGTAGGTGCGCTCCGACTCCACGATCTCCAGCACCACCCGCCCCAGGTAGCTGGGCTCGGCCCCGGGGCCACCGAAAGGTGCCAGGGGGTGCCCGCCGCGGGCACCCGGCCACCCCCCGGGGGAAGCGTTGTTGTTGCTGTTGCGCAGCCCCTCAGCCCATGGCTCGGCCCCGTCGCCGGCCGGCTCCTCCATAGCGCGGCCGGGCTCCGGCACCGGGCTCAGGGCAGGGTGCTGCAGGCAGGTGGGCACCGGCATGCCGGCATCCCCTGGCACCGGCAGGGCACAGGGCGGGTCTGGGGGGGAGAGCGGTGTGGTTAGGGGGTGCAGACACCCCCCAAGGTCCAGGCAGCATTTGGGGCCAAGGGGGGCTCACACCCCCCTCACGGTGAAGAGCCCCTGGGGTTGACCTGACGGCCAAACCCTCCAGGGAGCAGGGTGCCAGCATCCCCCAACCCCCAAAATCCCCGGCTACGGCTCGGCCGAGGCAGGATACAGCCTGGCAGGATCCTGGCACAGCCCATCGAGGCCTCCCACCTGTGGAGGTCCCCAAATTCGGGGGTTCGCCCTGCCCTTACCCCAGAGCCGGGCAATGCGCCCCAGCAGCCGGGGGCCGTGCTCCCGGAGGAAGAGGTACCCCAGCGGAACCAGCGCCATCGCCGCGTTGAGCTCCCACCCGCCAGCACCCTGCGTCGGGGCCGTGCGTCACCGCCGCGCCCACGGGACACCTTCCCGGTGAGCTCAGCGCCGGCTCACCCTTCCGGACCAACGGTGCCACCGGCCGCTCCCCCACAGCACCGGGATCCTCCCGTGCCACCAAAACCGCTTGGTGCCGCCAACCCGGTTGGGGCACCCGAAAACTGGCCGCCGGCGGCAAGGTGTGCCAGAGCGGCAAGGGCTCGCCGACATGCTTTTTGGCAGAGGGACAGTTTGCGGCAGGGCACCGAGCCCGCTCACCCCAGCAGGCGGGTGGCCCTGGGGACGATGACCTTCAGCTGGGCCACGTGCTGGCGGTGGGGCCGCCCAAGCCCCCCGGCACTGGGGGTGCCGGCACCGAACCGGTCAGGCCGGTTCCTGCCAGCTCCTCCCTGCACCCGCCATGCCGCACGGCCTGGCTCCCGCCGCCGCCCTCCCCACAGCTTTCCCGCGCAAGCCAGGAGCACCCCAAAAACCCACCGCGGTGCCCCCCAAGCAGGGCCCAGCCCCACATCCCCAGGCTGTGCCGCAGCCCAGGTCCCCAGGTGCCGGCACGACTGGCTCTGCCGTGGGGCACCCCCTCGGCACCCCGGCTCTGGGGGATTTGGGGAGCAGCCCCCCCAAACCCCAAATCTTTCAGCCTTGCCCCAGCCCCATGGCCACCTCGTCCAGGGGGGACCCAGCCCCATGGCCACCCCGTACCACCAGGGACACCGGGGCCAAGAGTCCAACCCCCATCCCCACCCATGACCGGGTCCCTGCCAGGGGACAAGAGGGGACGCCTGGGTGGCACTGGGGTGCAGACAGGGGCACGGCTCACCCCCTGCCCGGCACAGGGGGACAGTGCCCCGGTACCCACGGGGGGTCCCCCACGTGATGCCCAGCCGGGGATTTGCGGCCACCACGGCTCGTCCCCAAAGGCCGCCCCCGGCCGCCCTAATCCGCTCAGCGCGCTGGGATTACGGCACCGGCCCCACGTCACAGGGACGGTGGCCACTCGCCTCGGCCCTCTGGCCACCGCCAGCCCGCCCCACCGGGCAGGGGGGGTTTATCCTCTTCCCCCCCAGCGCCCCCGCGGTGGGCACGCGGCCGGCCAGGGCCCCCGGGCTCCCGCCTGCCGCCTTGTCTGTGCGGGGATTAGCCCTGACCTTCACCCCCGGCGGGAAGGGCTGCTCCCCCCAACCCCCCCGAGCTGGGGGCTGCCGGAGGCCCTGGGCACCCCCAGCCCTGCTGTGGGGGCTGGGAGACCCCCCCGGGTGCCGAACTGGATGGGGCCCCCGGGTGCTGCCGGCGGCACAGACGAGGACCCCGGGGGCTTCTGGCCGGCTCTGGCACGGTGGGGCCCCCAAAATCCCCCGCATGG